GTGCTAAGCCCTATTTACTCCAGATCCAAAATGTCACCTAAACTCTAGAATGGTCTTCCCACCTATAAAATCCAGACTCTGATTACTATCCAATTCAGTCTATACCATACAGCCAGAGTCATATTCCTAAACCCTGCTTGAAATTATTCCAACCACAGTTGCCCAGTGGTTCTTCCTCACCCCACAGATCCCATGTGCGTGGTCTGTCCTTAGTGGTTTTTCCTCTCCTTCAACACTCTTCTTTAAGGCTTTGTCTCCATGAATTTGTTCTTGATGTCTAACCATTTGCCTTATGCTTCCCTTACCTTCTACTCCATAAAAAATTAATCTCCCCCATTCTTCTATTCCCTCAGTCATTTGTTCATGTGATTTAGGAATAATCATTACTTGACTGAATCAAAGTTAGTGTGTATGTATGTGCATCTCCCCAACATATTATGAAGTCTGAGCTGGCAGAAATTATTATTTTAATTTTTTATTCCCTACTACAACTATCACTGTATATTACACACAGAAAATGCTCAATACACTTGTGTTGAATTTGAAGCTGCTGAAAACTTCATCAGTTTTCAGCTACATTCATTTCTTTTTCTTTTCTTTTCTTTTTTCTTTTTTTTTTTTTTTTTACTGAGTTGTACCATGAGGAAAACTAATGTGTACCAAATGGGGCACATTTCAACTACTTACACTATTACTTTAATGTTTTCATTGAACACGGGCATCTCTTAGTAGCCTCTAGGTACATTTAAACTTTTAAGATAAAAGGTAGTTTCTGTCAAAATGATTTACGCTCAATAACATTGCCAATTACAATCAAATAATTAAGACATACTCAAATGCCACAAAGCTTCAACTAAGAGAAATACGAGGGGATGCCAGTGGATAATGGTGATATTTGATAATCGCAACCTCCTCTTTCCCTCCAGCCATTGTTCTGCTGCAGAATCAGTCTTAAGAGATTCTTGCAGCCAGATGTTAGCACAGAAATATGATTACAAACTACACTCAATTTCACTACACTTCCAACATCCCTGGTTTGGGAAATTCAAATGGATTAATATGTCTGATGGTCAGGAACTAGAGGTTTAAAAGATCTGTCGCCTGAGAGCCCGGTGGTTACCATTCAGAACTCATGTGCACATGCGATTAAATATTCTCTTTGGAGAACTATTTTGTCATATAAAAATGTAAAATTAAAAGAAGTACAAAACACTGGGACAGATAGCACCTTTAATAACACTGTAATTCTGAATCTGTTCTGTTTATGTTAGGAAATATTTCTCTTTTAACTGTAGCTATAGTACAATTAGAGATATGCTTTAATTATTCAGATAATAGTCTCAACTTTGTTTGGATCAGTATAACCCTGTAAAAGTTAACACTTTGCAAGTTACAGCAAAATCCTGTGGGTGCTCCATCCAAGTCCACCGAGACTCCATTAAGCGTTCTGTGTGCCCATCCCCTGGCTTCTCTGGGCTTTGCTTTTCCAAAACTGCGCCTGCATATCTTTGGATGACTGTCCTCAGGCTTTTAAAGCCGCTTCACCCAAAAGACCAGAGAACTGGCAATGGCTTGTGTTTATGTCACCTCAGGGTAGTCTTTTTTTTTTTTTTTTAATATTTTTATTTATTTCTAGGAGAGAGAGGGAGAGAGAGACAGCGTGAGCAGGGGAGGGTCAGAGAGAGAAAGGGAGACACAGACTCTGAAATAGGCTCCAGACTCCGAGCTGGCAGTCAGCACAGAGCCCGACGCGGGGCTCGAACCCACAAACAGCGAGATCATGACCTAAGCGAAAGTCGGACGCTTAACCGACTAAGCCACCCAGGTGCCCCACCTCAGGGTAGTCTTAAGCTAGTGACCGACTAGAAAGGGAATCTGAAAGCCCAGCTCCCCTGCTTCAAGAAACTCTAAGCCATAATTTAGGCTCAGAGTATTCCAGTAGGATCAGCCTGAGGCTAGGACTGTGCCTACCATTGCCTTTGGCATGACTTCCTTCCTATTCCTCTTCTACTTCTCTTGCTCACTTCCCTGTCATCCCTGGGAACACTTCCTTAATAACTGTATGCACATTCTTATCTCCAGATGGGCTTTAGGAAAACCCAACCTAAAACAGAGGTATTGCCCCAAATCTAGTAGTAAAGACATCAGATTTCTATTTGAAGACACAAGACATACAGTAATGGGGTAGGACATACCAGTGAGTGGTGAGGGCTATTTACTAAAGCAAACAGCTTCCTCTCCCTATTTTTACACTTACACGCAGTCCATTCCTGTAACCTGCTACCCACTTTCCACTCTTTAGCTGCCTGCCAGCTATTGACTACTTTCTTCAGTCGGCCTCCGTTTTGTATTCCATTCTCCACAATAGTTTACTATTCTTTTATTCTTTTTTTTAATGCTTATTTATTTTTCAGAGAGAGACTGAGAGTGAGCAGGGGGACAGGAGAGAGACGGGGTGAGACTCAGAATTCAAAGCAGGATCCAGGCTCTGAGCTGTCAGCACTGAGCTTGACCCAGGGCTTGAACTCACAAACAGCGAGATGATGACCTGAGCCAAAGTTAGACACTTAATGGACTGAGCCCCCCACGTGCCCCAAATTTACTATCCTTTATCTTGGTTAATACCTTGTTGGTGTTATGTGAAGATTTTGAAAAAGAATATCTACTGGAGACCGAGAAGACCTGAATTCTAAGTTACATCTCTTCTGTTTCCTCTCCAAGTAGGCTTAGCATTTCTCCATGGGTTACTATTAGTAATCTGAACGGGACAGTTTTGTGCAGGACTGTACTTTGCATTGCAGGATATTTAACACACCTTGCTCTCTCCACTAGATATAACATAGCATTTCCTCACAAACAGTCACTGTGACAATGAAAGAGAAAACTGAGAGAGAGAGAGAGAGAGAGAAAGAGAGAGAGAGAGAGAAAGGAATTCCTACACCTATTTTCAAGTGCTGCCAGGGAGAGAGTATCACCCACCTCCTACCATCTTTGTGAACCAGTAAATAAGCAATAATGTTCTTTGTATTGTCTAGGATTTGAAGTTACTCTTCAACTTACCAACTTCCTTCTCTGGCCTTGCTTTCACCCATGATATTCAGAGATAGGGGCACTCTGATATACAGAGGAGTAAAAGGCTTCTGAAGTAATATTTTCCCATGTGATAAATACAGAGTTTATTTTATAAGGCTGGTAAAAGTGTTCACAAGTAAACTGTCACTAGTTGCTCATAATTTAAATAAGATACTTAATGATTGTGAGGTGCAGAAAGCTTGGGTTGAGTTTAATTAGGCATTTGAACTCAAGAGCACATTTAGCAGTAGTGCACTAAAAATATGATTAAGAAATAAATCATTATAAAAATAGGATTTAATTATTAGATTTATTGCATTATGTACTTAATAATGCCACATTAAAAGGATTTACTGAATCTTTAACTTCAACAAAATGTTAGGGTGCACAACCGTGGCTCGGTGGCGATTTTTATGAGTATTATAATCCACTCAGACGATCAATTACTAAGAGTATTACAGCATGTTATGGTTCTCTTGGAGGTGGATCACAAAACAAATAGTGCTTCTGTTCATTACTTTAGGATATCTCTAATAAAGCTGTGAGCTATTCAACCAATGGTTCAATTAGATGTTGGACTCTTACTGATTTTAAATTATTTAACATCAAAAGTTACTTGTCAACTCTAAAAATGAAAGAAAATGGTGGGCCAGCAGCAGGATAAATTTGCAATACTTCTATTTGATACAATACTCCCGAATCTACCCCTTATGTCATGTTATCCATGTATACCACCTCTGACCTCTTGCATATCTTACAGCCATTATCCGTATATGTTTTGCAACTGAAGGGATAACAAAGTCTGCTACCTTCCTATTGGGAAAAATTTTAAGAGCAAAGGTAGAAATAATATGCATTTATGCTGGTGACTGTGGCAGACTCATCTTGGGCTGGGAGGAGACTGTGGGGATAAAGAACACAGAGAGAGGGTCATCATTTAATATGAGCACAAGACCGTCATCACAGCCCGTGCTTGTAATTCAGTAGTTTAACTTTGAGCTTCCCCCCAGATTAGTCAACCTCTGCTGGCTCCCCCCACATAAAAAATTAGTATCGCTTTCTTGGCTTTCCTTTACACGAAATTCCTGTGTACAGATTACCATTAATAATTTCCTTTATTGATACCAGTTAGTAAAAACTAATAAGGGTTCACTCAACAAATATTTATTGAATGAATGAATAGCAGTTACTTTAAAGAGTCTCTAACAGAGTTCCAGTTATTGGAAATTGATATATTTCCCATATTTATAAAGAAAATTATTATTTGATGAAGTCCAGTGTTTTCATTTTTGCTTTATTTTGGGGAGGTTAATTCCTAATAGGGGTGATCTTTTCCAGTTCAATGGGCTGGACAAGAAGTGTGGTACCATAAAAAAAAAAAAATGTTCATGTGGAAATCAAGACCTTTAGTTCCTACTTCTATTTCCTCTTCCAAAGAGCCATACCATTTTGTCATTTAATTGCTGGAGGACTTCATTTCCACATCTACACAAAGACAGAAAAAACGTCAAGATGCTTTTGCATGTATCCCAATAGTTACTATCTTTACTTAGGTATTCCTCTTCTCTCATTTGAACAGATCCTAGCCTCCTAGCCTCCTTAGGTGACCGCCCACTTGTATTCTCCCCATCCATATTCTACTCCATACAATGCCATTGAATGTTTCTTTCCAAAATGTAAAACAAGAAATTTGAAAATCGCATTCAAATTTTTCGAATACATTCATCCCAGTTAAGTGGCATACCATCCTTCCACATTCTATCCCTGGTTCATCGTTCCTGATTCCTCTTCACTTGGGGCCAACTGCCAAACTCCCCAAATCTACACCGCAGTCAAAGCAAAATACTCATTGGTTCCTGACCACAATGGCTTCATGACTTCATACTACCCGGCATTTGCCTTCTCAGCCATTAGGGTGAAAGCTCTAACAAGGCAGAAACATGTCTTTTTCAGTTTAATATTTTCAGTATCTAAAAGATTATTTGCAAAGAGGAGGTGTTTGATAAATGTTTGGAGAGAGCTGGAATTGAATGCACTGTTAACATTCATGATGACAGGTAAAATCTTTTAATTTTCAAGGCCAAACTTAAGTATCAATTCCAAACCCAATTCATCCCCAGTGAAACATAAGTGGTCTTTATTTCTCCTTCTGCCCCCTTACCACATTTTCCAGACCCCTGTAGCAGTACATATTACATAGTCTTATAATATTGCTTTAGATATAGATATATAAACAGATAGAGATATATAGGTATATACGTATCTCTCTCTCTCTCTATTTCCCATTCAAATGTCACCTCCTAACTCAAGAATGCTTGTACATGGTACAGTCCCAATCAAATTTAGTTGAATTCAACACACTAAGATTCCTTTCAACCCTAAAATCTGATGGTTCTAAGCAATTATTTAAAAAAAAAAAAGAAAGAAAGAAAGAAAAAAAGCGAAAGATCTTAGAGTGAATTACTTAATTACTTATGAATACAAACCGGTATAAAGCTGAAGTCATGACGGAGATTGGAAAAACATTAGGATACAAATAGCTAGGAATGGTAGATGCCACTGTCGCTCTACTTCTTTGAACTGTATGAGCTAAAAGAGCCTATTAGACAGTTTGAGCACTTATTAAAACTCTTCTTCTTTGAAGTCAGTTCTAAATAATACAATTGAAGCAAAAGGAATTTTAGCTCACTGGCTTTATGTTGGCTCTAGAATATTTTGAAGTTAACATTCCAAATAGTTCTTAAAGCATTCTGACCTAGCTTTTTTTTTTTTTTTTTTTTTTTAAGAGAGAACCACAGTCACTATTTCTGAGTCCATTTATGAATAAGCTATATATTGAATGTTAGGAAAATACTAACATATCTATATTATTGCACTTACGAAAATACTAAATAAATATCCTTTACTGTCACTAGAGAGGATATCTTTAGCACCCTCAGAAATGTTGAATATTGTATAATGTCAGTTCTACAATGTCCAAATATCCAATGGTAGACAGCTATGATTACTTGCTACATCATAATTCACATCTTTGAAAAATACTTTTTTGGGTCACCTGGGTAGAGCAGTTGTTTGAACATTTCACTTCAGCTCAGGTCGTGATCTCAGAGCTCATGAATTTGAGCCCCACGTTGGGCTCTTTGCTGTCAGGGCAGAGCCCACTTTGGATCTTCTGTTCCCTTCTCTCTCTGCCCCTCACCTGCTCATGCTCTCTCTCTCAAAAATAAACATTAAAAAAAAGAAATAATACTTTCTCCGGAGGGCAAAGTAATTTTGCAAAGGCAAAGGACCTGTAACAAAAGATATACTTTAATGAAAATATGATATATTTCCTATTGCCTTACCTTGAAGATTGTGCTTGTCCATTTTTCAATCCTTGAAGTTCAGTGAAAATAATTTATTTATAACTAATTAGTAACATCTTAATAATTTCTTTCTTTTACAAATTTCTTATCAGAGAAACGTTACCATCTGTGCCAGTTATTTAGTGATTTGTTTTCTCAGATTCATACCCGTTCACCCTTCTCTACTCTGCTTGATGATGCTGAGGTGCAAACTCTGCAAGTCATTTTTCCATTTCACTGGCTGATTCCCCATTAGGATCTGGCAATGTATAGGGAAACAGCGGGACTAGAGTAGGGAAAAGGACTTACTCATTCCTCTTTGCTTCCGGCGGACTGACTGTTCCCATTAGCAGGATCCCAGATTTGCTTCCTCAAGCCTACAGCAGCGCTCATTGTTAGTAACAGCTGTTGAATCCAGTTGGCATTTTCCCCCTAACACTTACAGAATGAGCTTCAGTGCACCCCTGCCTTACGAATAGCAGCACCAACTGGCTGGCAGATGTCTGGGACTCAGTCTTATCCGGTCCCTTGCACTACCTAAGAGATCCGAGCCTCAGCCAACCAAATGCTCCCTCCTTGGAGATCGGAGTTCCAGATCAGTAGAGTCCAATTCCTCCAAACATCTGGATTTTAGCAATTCCAATCTTTCTCTTAGTTTTCTCAGTGTCAGGAGTGGTAGCTACTTCATGCAGTTGCTACCTGTGTTTTCTTTTTCAGTTTTCCAACGCCTGAATCACAATTCCTTGTGCTAAATTCTCTTTTGTTAAAATAACTGGAGTGGTTTCTGTCTGTTAACTGGATTCTCAGTTGACATACCATTCCAAACCCAAACTTGTGACTGTAACAATGGAATTAGGGAACAAGTTTTGGGTCTGAATTCAATGGATAAGAAAGAATTCTCACATTCCTTCAAATGCCACCTAATTCTGTATTACCTTCCAGTATCGTTTTCTACTATTTTCATAATATAAATACATTAACGATTCCACTATTAGCATAGGGGCATTTAAGCATCTGGACAGCCATATGTACAAATGTATTCTTTCTGTAGATGGGACTCAGTTGTATTAAAATGAAACAAACATTTTTATGCCAGTCACAGTTGAATGAAGTCTTCCTCTATAGTTATTTTTCAAAGTCAGCACGGAGAGAAAAATTAAAATATGGCCAAAAGAAGCCTAGTAAATCCCTATATCATCCATATTACATACATGTTTGGATTTTAAATCTGCACACCAATGTGTAGGGAACCGAGCTAAGCCGAAATAACAAAAAGCAAGCACATAGGCACCTTTCTTAACATGCAAACCTTCCTGCTTCTAAGGTAAACTCCAAAGTGTTTTGCTTACCTTCCAGGTTTTCTGCAGTATGTCTTAAAATTGAACACATTTCATCAGAATACTTTTAACAAACATGCTTGTTGCAAAGAATAAACAAGATGGTGTGGTCCTGAAGTTCGCCCATAAATGAACTGAGTCTCCTATAATGGGAACCTATCCACACTGTCTCGGTCATAACCGATTAAAGAACTGAAGCAATCTGAGCAAATCCAAGAGGATAATTCTGCTTAGAAGGTTGTTAGTAGATTATGTAGACCATGCTTGAAGCTCGATGTCAAAAATCAATTTTAGTCAGTGAATGACAATTTTATACCTTATTTATTAAATTCACAATACACTGAAATCTGAGTTTCCTATTACTGTGGCCTCTTATTTAGACACCAGTAATTGCCTCTTTCTTGTGCACTTCTAAAGCATAATTCCTGATATTAGCTGGCACCATTCCAATAATTTTTACTTTAACTATGGAAATTTCTTTTTAAAAACTGCCATTCTAGAGTTAATATGCTACCAGCTTTGTACAAATTAAATTGGTTGTTAGAAAATGGCCTCTATTGTACCTTAAAATGATACTCTCAGAAAGTTACCCCTTTTCTTAACATTTCTAATATTACCTTTCTGTAGACGCTTTTTGGAAGCACTTGACAGAAATTCAGCTTATCTAATAAAGAAGGAAATCAAAGACAAGTATATAGGTTTTTTTGTTTTGTTTTGTTTTGTTTTTTGTTTTTTGGTTGTGATAGACTGTACTCCTTGCCTGTTTTTCCTTGACCATTATATACAAAGCTACTTAAATATGCTATGGCCATTATCACCACTATTTCCTAGTCCAGAACCAGCCTGGCCCTAGACTAAAGGAATTTAAAGCCCCCCACCCCCACTACTTCCACTACTTTCTAAGTTGAGGCCAAAATATAATTGCTACCAGTCTAGCAGCCTACTGCTTAAACTAGACTCTTGCCTTCATCTTTATGATCCAGATTCACTTTTTGTACTCAATGCACAGCCACTTCTAAGACAAGGACCTTGACCAAAGTCTTTAGAATGAAGTTCCACAGAGGGCAGAGATGTCGTCTGCCTTGTTCACTGCTTTAATTCCAGCACTTGGTGGCTCTTCAGTGCCTGGCCACCTCTGGGGAGATCAGCTAAGGTTGTTGGAATGACTGGATCTGATGAATAAAACTCAGCTTGATGTATCTTCATTGTAACCACTGTGTTTCTGGTCTAAAGCCCTTTGGTGCCTCATCAAGGCCATTCAAGTCTAGAGTGTTATCCTAAACCCAGTGCCCATGGCTGTTTCTCCTATTACCTGCTACTGGAATCATTAGTATAGTCTACTCTGACCAAATGTTCCTTTTTTTTACCCCGGATTTTGTTTCCTCACCTGCTAGAGGCTGTGCTTATCTCCTGATTTTCTGTCTCAGCAACGACTCACCCCTGCCTAGATTTCTTCTGTGGAAGAAGATTCTCTTGGAATCTACCCCAATCTGTATTTGTAACCTCTACGGTGTGACCATCCCTTTGTCATTTGCACTCTATTTCAATTCTCATATGTAAATGCAGGGAGATAAGAATAAAAAGGAGCATTGTAGTTTTCGTAATGCACACATGGCAAGAGGGACAGGGATAGGACAAAGGCATGATTTTTTTAAGTGTTTTTCCTTGTTGGGGGGGTAATGAAGGGGAGCAGTGAGAGGGGGAGGGGCAGAGAGAGAGGGGAAAAGAGAATCTGAAGCAGTCTCTGATTTGACAGCAAAGAGGCTGAGGCGGGGCTCAAACTCACCACGAGATCATGATCTGAGCTGAAGTCAGATGCTTAACCAACTGAAGCACCCAGTGGCCCCAAATGCATGAGATTCTTAATCCAGAATATAGCAAGGAGATATAGAGAGGTGATTTGGAAGAAGAGATGTTCTTTTCTAGTTCAACCTTTGCAGACCCACCATCTAGGGAATGCAGCACACCTAATGATAATTCTAGACATATTCAATCTGATGATTTCCAATTAGGTACACAGAAAACAAGGAACATATATTAAGTGACAGTTGAGTGCCAGGAAAATAATTAATGTAATAACTAATAATAAATAAACTAGATAATTAAAGCTAATCAGCAGCTACCCTTATTGAGTCTTCATTAGGTGCCAGGCATTTCCTATACATTGTCTCATTTAAAATCCTCCACAAAAATTCATGAAGAGAATGATATTTAGCAATACTCATTTAAAAGATGAGAAGTCTAAATAAAAACTGAGGAATATGCCCTCAAGTCCTAAAACTGACATGAAGTTGTCAGAATGTGAACCAGGTCTGTGTGGTACCACAGCTTAGACAATTATCTACTAAGCTGTACTCCACTCTCTCATCCCTAAGG